ATCACACTTAGTTCAGGAATGAAAGGATAATGGATTTAATTGTGAAAGAGCTAACCAATGAATTAAAATTGGCTTTGACAAGAAGCAAGGCTATGAAAAAACTAAAAAATGAGAAAAACTTGGCTTTACTTCCGAACAGACTAAGCAATGAACAACAGCAGGTTTTAAGTTTAATGATTATAACTATGCCAAAGAATGAATAAAATTAAATTTCACTGTTGAAGAAACAAGGCAATGAATTGCTATTGGTTTCCAACCAGAAGATTATGAAATTGCTAAGCAATGAAAAGAGCACAAACTTTCTTCATTCCAAGCTTGCGAATGAATAAAAAATGGCTTAAAAAAAGATGAATCTGAATTCGCTAATTATCTAGTAAAAAAAGGCTATAAGTCTAATGTTCCCGGTATAGAAAAAACAATAACTAAAGAATCTTGGCAAGACATTCACCAAGAATTTAGATACTCAGAGAGAAAGAAATGGGAGGAAAAAGGTTTTTCTCATCAACAAACTAAGGAATGAATCGATAACGGAATGAGACCCCAAGATGCTGATTATTGCGACAGTTTACGAAATATTAGAAAAGTAAATGCAAAAAACTATAACGAATTAATTTCTGATCAAGAACTACAAGAAAAGTGTAAGCATCATGGTCTGTGTAGAGGATGTAATAGACCTAATACCGGATTTCAGTGATGCCAAGCTTGTAATGCTCGGCGTTTCCAGGAAAACTTTAAGAACTGAACTAGTGGCAACCCCAAAATTGATGAATTTATCAAAAAATACCAACTGGAAGCAATTGACAGACGTAGTGTACTAGAGTGAATACCCTATGAACAGTTTAAAAACATTGAATATCTAGCCAAAGGTGGTTTTGGCACAGTATACAAGGCTAAGTGAACAGACGGCTACATTATTAATAATAAGTGAATAAGGTGTCACGAGCCGGACGTTGTTCTAAAGAATTTAAATAATTCTCAAAACGTAACAACTGATTTTTTACAGGAAATAGTTTGTCATAAGTCAACTGATGATGATGGTTTAGCCGTTGTAAGATGCTATGGTATTTCTCAGAATCCCGAGACTAGAGATTATCTAATGGTTATGGAGTACATCAAAGATGGTAGTTTAAGGCAATATTTAAATACTAATTACAATAAATTAGATTTTGGAGATAAGCTCAAGCAGCTACTTTATAGCGCAAATGGACTAAATTTAATTCATCAACGAGGATTGATTCATCGAGACTTTCATGCGGGCAATATACTAACTCAATATGCTTACGAATGTTGTATTACTGATTTAGGTTTATGCCGACCAGCAAACGAAACTAAAGATGAAAATAAAATTTATGGTGTTTTGCCTTATGTAGCTCCAGAAATTTTATTAAAGAAGCCCTATTCACAAGCTGCTGATGTTTATTCGTGGGGAATTATAGCCACTGAAATACTTTCTGGGTTACCACCCTATCACATATAGCTCACGACTTTTCCTTAGCAATACAAATATGCCATGGACTTCGCCCCCAACTTCAAATTAAAATACCACCATTGTTAGCAGATTTAATTACTAAATGTTTAGATGCTAATCCTTCGAAACGACCAACAGCTAGCGAATTATATAAGTTTTTGTGAGATTGATGGAATGATATCCGTCTTAAGAGAAACACTGAATTTTATTGCCAATACAAAGAAATAGAAGAAGAGTTTAATCGAGTCCTAACGACAGCAAGGTGTGATGCAAAACTTCTTTCTTGTCAAACCCACCCTCGAGCATTTTATACTAGTAGATTGCTCGACTTCAAAAATCTTCCGCAACCTCAAAATAGTAAAGAGATTAATGTGCAATTTTGATCTAAATCAATGGGGTTAGCAGAAATTCCTGCTGATAACCAATCAACAGAAAAGCATCAAGCATCTAGACCCGTAGAAACTGTTAGCATTCCTCTAGACGAATCAATAGAAATAGACCATCAAGAACAAACCCCTCAAATTATCCACAATCCCCCTAAAAATTCCTAAAAAAAAAACAACACTCTCCTGCTTCTTACTTACTTCTTAAATCCCCCATTCCTCGCCAACCAAACCAAATAGTAATTAAATTATATTATGGTAAATATAACTGCGTAAAGTTTGTCTTTTACTAGCACTTTTTACTTGGTCCAGCAGCTCTCATTGCTTATCTAAATAAATTT